GTAACATCCTTATAGTGATGAATGGCGCAAATTTAAAATTTAAAATTTTAACATTTAAATTTTAAATTTTAACATCCAAATAAAGTTTTGTGTATTGACCTGAATTTTATTATATATTTTAATCAAAAACACAAACATGACGCATGTAAACCTTAAACTTCCTATTCCGTTTTTTAAGGATGTATTCATAAACGAAATAGGCAAAACTACACGTTTTCTTCTGTACACATCCATTTAGGTTGCCATCCAATCTAGTACGGGTGGGAGTTTTTCGGCGAACTCGCAGCGATGACGCTACGTGTGCACTGTCACGGGTTTCCTCGCTGCGAGCTCGCGCGACATTTTCTCGCTCGTGTGCATCGAGCCTAACCATACTTGTCACCGGTATCAGATCAAGGAAGGTGACTGCACGTAAAGATGCGAGCTTCTGTCATATTGGACACTGACAATGAATCAGACATGCCATTTGACAATCGAAATAACTTTTAAAATACTCGATAGTTAGGCCTATATCTAGATCTTTGTTTACGCGCTTACTTAATTAATGTGTATCTAAATGAAGCTATCTCTCGGCATTATTCACATAACAGAAGACGTGGGGGAACAGAATTGTGGTCTGCTTAAGGGATTCTTCCGGACAGTCATCCGGAAAACTAAAAAAAACTATGAAGAATTTTAATACAAATAGCCAGTATACCAGTCGCGATTCGAACACTGAACCTCCAAAGTACTTAGAAGGAATACCACCCTCTACGCCGTTACATTTGTTCACTTCCAGTCGAAAAAGTGTTTTGTCAGACGAAAGCCTTAGTAATTTACGATAAGAATAAAAATTGACAGTGTAGCCACGGTTCCGGAGAATCTGACGTAAATACGTCTCTGTATTTAAATTATATTTAAGCAATAAATACAAGGAAAGGAAGGTAGCTGAATATAATATAATGTAATGTAAGGAAATGTAAGGAAATGTAATGTCAAAATTATCTAGTCTACGACGCACTTCTTCTACAAGCGATTCACAGCTCAGCTCTTTCCGCAATAACGAAAGCGGATTGTTGACGGCAGTAATGTAACACAACAATGCCGAGTAAAGACATGACGTTTCCTAGGTAACATAACAATGCACGCAAGCTGACCATTGCTGTAGGTCCATATTTACACATTCTTGATATGGATCTTACACATCTTCGTTACGCTTTTTTGCGGAATGTCCCTTCCGTAGAGACGTATTTACGTCAAAATAATTATTTTCTTGCATAAATTCGTTATTCATAATTCCCTGACACATTACAAAATATCGCTAGACTTGAATGGTGCAATGGATGGTAACATAGGACATGCCGATAGAAAGAGGAACTCTCCAAGTTTATTTTACATACCTCATAAATGCTTTATGTGTCCACTCTTTGTGACGCGGCAGAAGTTAAGCCGACAATCCATATCCGCCCACACCCGCTGCAGCATGCCACGGCTGATTTGTGAGATGACAGCGATGATTCGTCTTCACAGCTGAGGCAGATCTCGTGCCAGAGGCGGTACAAAGACCTGGTCCTTAACGTACCCCCATGAGAAGAAATCACATGGCGTCAGGTCAGATGAACGGGGTGGTTAACGAAGCAGCGCATGGTTATTGAGCATTTATGAGGGATGTAAAATAAACTTGGAGAATTTCTCTTTCTATCGGAATGTCCTGTACATTATTAATAACTAATACTGGTTCTGTCTTTGCATAATGGATTTGCATAAATATATATTGACATTATGAGCTGGACCTCACAGGAAGGTGGTAATTATTAGGCTCAGATAAAACCAGGAAATGTAGGAAAATCTCATTTGCACAAAGGAGGCTCTGCGCTATAGAAAAATGTAATATAGAATGCAAAGAACAAAGCGCACTTAATGAATGAATATTTGCAGCACATACCTGAGTATGCACTTTCTGCCCATTTTCCTCCTCTGTTTCTGTGATCGTGCTCGATTTCAGCTGCTTTAGACGATGCACCAGTTTTAAAATTTATAAGCCAGGAAAGATCATTATCACAGTAGTCGGTATCATCTTCATGTTTAAATTCTGTCACTGAATGTTCTGTTAGTGAAATAGATTCAGAAAAGTCTGAATTATAAACTATGTAAATATCGCTATCAGAAATCTGCTTGAAAATAGTGTCGATATTTTGAAGAGTAATTTCAATTCCACCATTTTCATTCCTTGGAGTACAAGACTCGTACATATCAATATCCTCTATTTTCCACTGCAAATCTGTAGTGTTTAAAGGAACAGTTTGTTCATTTGGAGCCACTGCTTCGATTGCGGTTGGAAGGCTGCAGTTTTCTGTGCCAAAATAATCTTCATTATTTGACCTCTTCACACACGGATTATCAGTCGAACACAATTCTTCAGGTAATTTCCTTTTCGTTCTTGTGACAGCCTGTTGATCTACTTCAGTACTGAAGCTAGACATACCTAGCGACGTTTCGCTGTTCATTATTTTCTTCAGTTTCACTTTTGTCCACACAATTTCGTAAACATTTTCCGCACATCTGAACTAACTCAACAACAATATCAACAAAGTCTACGTTGTTATTCCACCAAACAATGTGAAATTGTAAATAAACGTCTGACGTGTACAGTGTGTCCGTAAAATAATGGTGGGGTAACAAACAGTCATAGTTTTGGAATAAAGCACGAAAAATAAAACGTCAAAATAAAGAGAAACTCTTGAAGAATCGTACCTGTTCAGTAGATTTCGATATGCGCTCCTTTAGTTGCCCTGCAGACATCAAGACGATATTCAAGCTCTTGCCATACACGACCGAGAACATCCGGTGTGACAGATGAAACAGCTTCAGTGACCCGTTCTTTCAAATGGTCCAGATTTGTTATTTGGACAGAGAACACTTGTTTCACATAACCCCACAAATAAAAATCCATATGGGTAAGATCTGGAGAGCGTGGAGGCCAGGCTATCCACCCTCCTCGTCCGACCCATCTAACAGGAGAATGAAATTCTCCGGTATTTGGGGCACTGCAATTCAGGTGTTACATAAAATTTATCCACAGGACAAAATTAATCGGTTCGAATTTGCTACAGACATTCTTGAGAGGTTAGATCATGATGGGGAATTTTTAGACAAGTTTATGTTCAGTGATGAGGCTACGTTTCATGTTTCGGGACGAGTCCATCGGCATAATGTTAGAATATGGGGTAATGAACCTCCACATGTCATTATGGAACATCAACGTGATAGCCCAAAAGTTAATGTGTGGTGCACAATTGGACGAGTCAGAGTTATTAGCCCATTCTTTTTGACGTAAATACGTCTATAAGGAAGGGTCATTCGGCAAAAAAGTGTAACGAAAAAGTGTAACCTGGTTACCTAGGAAACGTCGTGTTTACTCGGCATTGTTGTTACCTAGGAAACGTCAATTATTTACTCGGCATTGTTGTTACCTAGGAAACGTCAATTATTTACTCGGCATTGTTGTTACCTAGGAAACGTCGTGTTTACTCGGCATTGTTGTTACCTAGGAAACGTCGTGTTTACTCGGCATTGTTGTTACCTAGGAAACGTCATGTTTACTCGGCATTGTTGTTACCTAGGAAACGTC